GGGAATACGGGTGCAAGGCGTCTCTGCAGATTGTTGCGCCAACATTTGTTTTTGCTAACCATTTCAACTTCAGTGAAAAACCAATTAATAAAAAAAATATGAAAATATATTTGCGCAAAAGCGTTGAAGTATGAAAAAATTGATTATATCTTTGTAGTGAAAATTACAGGTCAATTGTAATGGCGTTCCTCCCGGACGCAGCTGATTCGGGTTTTTTCTTCTTCGCAATTGACCGCCGGTGCTACCGGTTTTGTAGATGGACTTTATACAATAACTTCCAACAGGATTTATCATCTCAGTCTCAAAAAATTACTGGTCGGTGAGACACCGTACCAGGGCCAACAGATTCAGAAAGATTTCTCCACACGGAACACGCTTATAACAGCACAACCACTGGTAGATAAACCAAGAAAGCCCAGGTTTTACAAAATTATAGCCACCTGCTAACACTAAGTGCCTTCCTGTAGCTGGCCACTACGCGATTCCCCTTTGTTAGGTATTATCAAAACTTGCCGGTAAGATACCGGCACAAACAATTATTAAAAACAAAATGGCTGAAGCCCCCAACTTATTAAAGAGCGGATCCTCAAAAATTAAAAACGGATTCTTCTCCCCTCCATTAGAGTCACTTCCGATTTCCTTCTCCAGTTTGGAGAAGAGCTTGTCCCGATGCTTCGGGATGCCCGGAGGGCGGATGAAGTGAGGGGTCGGGGGAGGCCAAATTACAAATTATGAAAACATCTAAAATTACACTGGGCTTTACAAGACTCAGTGATGATCAACTGGAAGGCCGGGCACTGGCCATTGCTGCCGCTATGACCGGCAACACCAAATTTTCCTGAACCCACGCCTGCACTGGCAGATCTGAACAACAGCATCAAACTGTTTTCAGACGCGCTGGCGCTGGCAAAAACAAGGGACAAGGTGAAAGTGGCCATTAAAAACAAGCTGCAGGCAAAACCTTGAGTTTACGCTTATCAGCCTGGCCAACTACTGCAGCCATACTGCCAAAACAGATCGCGCCATCCTGGCAAGTTCAGGATTTTCGCTGAATACTGAAAGCGGCACTGCAAAACCGCTCACGCCGCCTGAGAATTTTACTGTGCAACCCGGTAACAATCCAGGCGAAGTATTGCTGTACGTTAATACGGTGCCCAATGCAAGGACGTATCTGTTCCTTTATGGTCCTTCTACCATGAGTGACGAAGCCTGGTTTGTTGCGGTAAATTCGCAGCCGTATTTTACCATTACCGGTCTTACACGAGGCGCTACCTATAACTTTAAAATAGGTGTAACCGGCTCAAAAGGCCAGGTATTGTATACCAGTGTTGTTGCTGCAATGGTGATATAAGCCGCCAGTATACTAAGGCGGTAATTTTTATGGGATGGATCTATTTTGATTCATCTGCTTCAGCCCTTCCGGGGTTTTTCTTTTTTAGGGGGCGGGCACAGTATGGTTTTTACGCCCTTTAGTTTGTAATCCTGCTATCCCTGCACACCGGGTAATCATTTTTGAATTTTGTTAGTTGAACCGAAAAGCTAATAACCGACGCGTAAATATAGCCAGTTACTTTATTTGCAGGTGCGGAGTAATTACCGTTAGGCGCAAGGCTTGATTTCAATGGTTGAACTTCTAAGTGTTTTCATTTAACTGTTATAATATCGCTGGTGATTTCATTAAACAAAATCAGGAAAATTGAGCGGTTGATACAAAAAACAACTAATTTTAATACTTCGCAAATGCATTCCTTCATTGGCATACAGCTCAAATTATTTCGGGATTTCCTGAAGTATTCATTGAATCAAATTTTTGCTGGTCTTCTCTTTTGAGAAATTTGGAATTAATCTTTTTGTATGCGCCAGATTACTGATTTTTTTGGAAATCTGTTTAGCATCGCGGACTGGCCACCGCGTTGGCATTGTGGCCGTTGGTCAGATTTTCATGGCTGGTTATATATTATCAGTGACCTTTTAATATGGAGTGCTTATTTCACCATCCCTGTAACAATTATCCGGTTTATCAGCCGCAAACAGGATGTCAGGTTCAAAAGGCTCTATTTTTTATTTGCTGCATTTATACTTGCATGCGGCGCTACTCATTTTCTCGATGCACTCGCTTTCTGGTTGCCCATGTACAGGGTCAGTGCCCTTGTACGCCTGGTGACAGGCATCGTTAGCTGGTTAACGGTATTTTACCTGGTTAAATACCTGCCCGTATTATTTTCACTCAAAACCCAGGCTGCACTTGAACAAGAAATAAACCTTCGTAAGGTGTCCGAGGAAAAGTTCAGGGGGCTTCTGGAAGCAGCGCCCGATGCCATGGTAATAGCAGATGCTGGGGGTAATATTGTTTTGGTAAACAGGCAGACCGAAATACTAATGGGATATAAACGGGATGAACTTTTTCAACAACCTTCTGAAATGCTGGTTCCGCCGGAATTCCGGGATACATTTATGCTGATAAGGGCGGCCTACCTCTCAAATCCCGGCTTTAAATCAATGGATAGCGGGCTGGAAACATGGGTATTGACAAAGGATAACAAAAGAGTTCCGGTTGAAATCAGCTTGTCGCCATTATCAATTAATAACGAACTCCTGGTATTGGCTTCCCTGCGTGATACCACAGTTCGCCGGCAAACAGCTGCGCTGCTGGAAAAGACGCGTATTAATTTTGAAATGTTGGTGAAGGGAGTAAAAGATTACGCCATTTTTATGGTGGATAAACATGGTTTAATTATAAGCTGGAACGAAGGGGCAGAGAAAATCAAGGGGTATACTGCGGAGGAAGTGCTGGGGAAATCGACCGCTATATTTTATACTGATGCTGATATTCAAGCCGGTCAACCTGGACTTAATCTCGAGCTGGCGAGGGAAAATGGCACTTATGAAACTGAGGGACTGCGCGTAAGGAAAGATGGAACTGTTTTTTTTGCGAATGTTGTTTTTACGAGACTGGTTGATGCTAAGGGAGAATTTGCAGGTTTTGCTAAAATTACAAAAGATATTACCCAGGCCACTAAAGACCAGGAAAAAATGCAGTTCCTGGCAACCATCACTGAAAGTATCCAGGATCCTATTATTTCTTCAGATAACGAATTTCATATTACAAGGTGGAATGATGCCGCTGAACGGCTGCTGGGCTGGACAAGTGCCGAAGTGATGGGAAAAAGGACTGCTGAAGTCCTGAAAGTGTATTACCCGGCAGAAACAAGAGCGGAAATTCTTGCAAGTCTCGAAAAGAATAAAAATTGGCAGGGGGAGGTCGTTTATCACAATCGCTGGGGAAAACCATTGAACGTTCTTGTAACAGTCTCATTGTTGTTTGATAATAGGGGCAGGGTGGCAGGCAATCTTGCACTCATCAGGGATATATCCAGGCGGGTTGCAGCTGAGAATGCGCTTAAGTTAATGAATGTTGAAATAAGCAGGGCAAACAGTGAACTGGAAGCATTCAGTTATTCAGTATCACACGATTTAAGAGCACCTCTTCGTGCAATTGGCGGCTATACAGGCATGCTGAAAGATTCCGGTGTTGTAAAGGATTCGGAAGCCATCAGGTTGATGAATAATATTGCACTGCATGCCGAAAAAATGGGCCGGCTGATTGATGGCCTGCTCAATTTTTCAAGGTTGGGCAGAAAGGAATTGGTGAAAACCAGCCTCGATTTGAACCATATGGTAAATCGCTTATGTTCAGAAATATCAGGGCAATACCCCGGTAGAAAAATCAATTTTTCAATAGAGCAGTTACCTGTGGTGCAGGCAGATCAATTGACTATTGAAAATGTTTGGGAAAATCTTATTTCAAATGCGGTTAAGTACACTGGCGCCTGTGAATCTGCTGAAATAAAAATAGGTTTCCTTGAAGAGGGTGACGTGTACACTTTTTATATTTCTGATAACGGCGATGGGTTCGATATGCAGTATGCAGATAAGTTATTTGGGGTATTTCAACGGCTCCATTCTGAAAATCAGTTTCCGGGAACCGGTGTTGGGCTGGCACTGGTACATCGGATTGTTACAAAACATGGAGGCCGTATTTGGGCAAAGGCGGCTCCGGGAAAAGGTGCGAACTTTTATTTTAGCCTTTCTAAATCATAAATAAGACATGGAAAGAGTAGAGATTTTGTTGGTGGAAGACAACAGCAGCGATGCTGAAATGACCATTTATGGCCTGCATAAAAGCAAGCTGGTTAATCAACTGCTGCACCTGGAAGATGGGGTACAGGCATTGGATTTCCTTTTTGCGCGTGGAATGTACACGGGTAGAAATACAGATATTATGCCTTCAGTTATTTTGCTGGATCTTAAAATGCCCAAACTTAGTGGGCTGGAAGTATTGGCCTCTATAAGAAAAGACGCGCGTACCAGGAAGATTCCGGTCATTATACTTACTTCATCGAGGGAAGATCCTGATATCAGCAGGGCTTACGATTTAGGGGCCAACAGTTATGTGGTTAAACCCGTTGATTTTGATGATTTTCAGAAAGCGATTGCAGACTTAGGGTATTACTGGATGTTCCTGAACCAGAAGCCCACCTGATTTTAAAGTTATGCCTGTCTTTTTGAATAATAGTCCATTCAACTACCTGCACTTTCCATTGGGAATTTATGCACCAGGTAATAAAAGCCGGCAGGTGAAGATACTGGTAGAGATAATATGTTCAGAAAGTATAACCGTTTTTTAAAACTGTTTTATGAAATCAAAACTGAAAGTACTTATTCTTGATGATGATGATGCCGACGCTGAATTAATACAGCACCTGCTGTCAAAAGGAAAGATTTCATTTGAGTTTTCATTGGCTCAGAACAGGGACGAGTTTTTGAATGCTTTGCAGCATTTTGTGCCTGAGATTATTCTTTCAGACCATTCGATACCACAATTCAGTTCTAATGAAGCACTACGGATTGCCCGTCTGTATTACACCAATATTCCTTTTATTTTGGTTACCGGTAACGTCTCCGAAGAATTTGCTGCCACAATAATAAAGGAGGGTGCAGACGATTATATTTTGAAAGACCGGATGGTAAGATTGCCAGCGGCCATTGAAGCGGCATTTAACAAACGGAGAGATGCAAAGGAAATAACTGATTATAAAGCAGCCCTGGACCAGGCCGCCATTGTGGCCATTACTGATCAAAGAGGAATAATTACTTATGCAAATGATAATTTTTGTGCTATCTCACAATATACAAGAGAGGAGCTGATTGGGCAAGACCACCGGATCATCAAATCAGGCCATCACGGCAGCGGGTTTATCAGGAATCTCTGGCACACAATTGCAAAAGGAGATATCTGGAGGGGAGAATTCTGTAACTGCGCAAAAAATGGTTCACTGTATTGGGTCGATACGACTATTGTGCCTTTTGTCAATGATGCAGGCAAGCCCTATAAATACCTCGCCATCCGCACTGATATTACAGAACGTAAACAAGCTGAAAAGGCACTGGAGGAAAGCAACATGCGTTTTAAATATGCTTCCATGGCGGTATCAGATATTATCTGGGAGCTTGACATGGAACTGATGAAATGTGATCTTTTCCAGGGCAAAAAGCAATTGTTTGATCTGGAAGGATCAATTGGTGAACCACCTTGTATTTTAGGTGATCTGGTATTACCCGGCGACAGATCCAAGATACAGGATAGCTTTCACAGCGCTGCGGCAGATAGTAATTGTTCGCTATGGAGCGCGGAATACCACGTATACTCAAGAAAAAGAGAAATCCGTGATATTGTAAACAATTGCATATTTGTCCGCGATAAGCAGGGAAAGGTGCACAAAGCCATCGGGGCAATCACAGATATTACAGAAAAAAAGCAATTGATTGCTGAACTGTATGACCAGCAGGAGAGGGAACACCTGCGGGTTACCGCCGCAACATTGCAGGTTCAGGAGGCTGAGCGAACCTCGATTGGGCAGGAATTGCACGATAATGTGAATCAATTGCTGGCTGGTACCAAAATGCTGTTAACAACGCTGATTAAACAGAATGAAAAAGCCAACGGCGTGCTTAATGATTGTGTTTTATACCTGACACAGGCCACAGAAGCCAATCGGAAAATTGCACAGGCGTTTGTAACTCCTGATTTTAGCGATGCAGATTTAATCAGTCAGTTGAAGCATTTGACAAATATCATGTTCAAGTCTACCGGCGTAGAAGTGGTGATTGAAGCCAGCGCTGCTTTTGAAAAACTACTCAATGATGAACAACGGCTTGCCTTGTACAGGATAGCGCAGGAACAATGTACCAATATCTCCAAATACGCCAACGCAAGCGAGGTACGGATCCGATTTACTATTTTATCCGGACAGGTGGTATTGACCATCTCCGATAATGGTATTGGGGCAGTGGAATCTAAGTATGCCGGCGGCATTGGGCTCACTAATATTAAAAACAGGCTGCTGCTGTTGGGAGGAAGCCTGAAAATTGACACATCAGAAGGAGCTGGATTTCAGCTCACCGTACAATTCCCTGCCGGGCAAACTAAATCCGCATTAAAGTAACCCAACAAATTATTGTCATCAAATCCGTATCGACGGTTTGCCCAGTCCTGAATGGGTTAATTTAACTTAGGCTGGCAGATGTGGTCCCTATCGAGACGTTTTCGAACCATTTTCTGGATGATTTAAAGCGATTGGCAAATCTTGCGGGCTAGTAACCAATGGTTTGTGAGTGGCTAAATTGCCTTAGTGGGGACCGGATTAATGGTATTAAAGCACTAAAAAACATATTTTGTAACTTTAAAAAATGGGAAGGAAAGCGTCCTTGGAAGATAAGCCTGATTTACCCAGACGTTTGTTCTGGGAGTTCAGGTATGATGACATAGAATGGAGGAAGGAATATCTTACCGTTATTGAAAGGGTTTTAGAAAGGGGCACTCCTGAGGAATGGGAAGAAATGGTGCGTTTCTATGGGGAAGCCCGGGTTATTGATATTCTCAAAAGAGAGCTCAAATTTCTCAATGACTATGCTATCGACGAGGTGTGCGCATTCTTCCCGGTCCGCAAGGAAGAATTGTTATGTTATACACGCAAACAGTCAAGGCCGGGACACTGGATCTGATTAAAGAATTGACGAAGGACAAGGAACTGGGTTCTTTTAATCTTGTAGGAGGTACGGCACTTTCACTAAAACTGGGCCACCGCATTTCGGTCGATATTGACCTTTTCACCGACCGGGATTTTGATTCTCAGCAGCTCAGTCTGCATTTAGCCCAAAAATACAACCCGGAGAATATTAAGACCATAAAGAATGGCATATTTTGTTTTATTGACGGAATCAAAGTGGATTTGATCGCACATCAATATCCATTATTAAACAAGATTGAAGAAGTCGAAGGAATAAGAATGCTCTCCCTCCAGGACATTGGGGCCATGAAATTAAATGCCATTTTGCATAATGGCACCCGGTTAAAGGATTTTGTGGACATGCACTTCCTGCTGGAAAAAATCCCACTTATCAATATTACTGCTGGTTTTGCGCAGAAATACCCCGATGTAAATGCACAAATGGCGAATACTGCCTTGCTTTATCACAAGGATATTAATATCGGAGAAAAAATAGATTTCCAGGGTCCCGATATTTCTTTTGGTCAAATCGCCACCCGACTTCAGGAAGCCGTCCAGACGCCCTCGCGGGTCTTTGCAAACAAGTTACGGCAAGGACTGCATCCTCCAAAGAACATTTCAATTAAAAAAGGCAATCGGAAAAGGCCGGGGTTTTAAGCGGACCGGCAAATAGAGCTGGACGTTTTGTGAGTAGGATAAATGTGAGGAAGGATGAAAAAGTTACTGCTGATACAACTTGGCTATTTAAAGTGCCGGGAACGAATGTTCCCCAGGCACTTTTTTTATTTTCAGGAGACTGTACCTGCCCTACAACAAATATTCCCGCCACGTCCTCCACCTTCCCGGAGAAATAGCTCCCTACCCTCAATCCAAACTGATACTAAGTTTTCAATTTTTTGATTTTCAAACTGATTATTTATGGCAGAGTTTAAGAGAAGAACCCTGACTTTGAGCACAGGGAAACAAATAAAATTGTACGGCAACAGCATTGGGATCGGTAAGTCCCTGGAGGTAGCTGAAGGATATGCACCGAATATTTTCTCGCATGTATCCAATGATGAGAAAGAAAAATCCACTCCGGCTGTTTCAAATCCGCATCAATTAACGGCAGAAGAAGTGTATGAATTAGCTGATTACTCTATCCGCTTATGGCTGGATTTAAAGGATAATATACGCAAGTATGGGGTGAACAGCACTAAAGTTTTCAATAGTGATGCATTACGATGATCTACAAACTACATGATTTCGAACATAGAATAGGCTAATGGGAAAAAGCATTGGAATGCTCAATACGCAGCTAAGCTGATAGCATGACTTTTTGAATTCTTTTAAGGCGAGCGGTGTTCTTGTCGAACAAAAACCCGGTTCGCCGCGAACGCTCGCCTTTTACTCCCGTTGGTCGCAAAAGGAATTGCAAAAGACGATTTAAAATGAGGATGTATGGAAACAGTGAGTAAGACTACAAAGAAGACCGGAAGACCGGCCAAGGCCATTAAGAAAGAAGTACGGGCCTGCGTAAGATTTACCCAACACGAGTATTTTATTGTCCGGGAAAAGGCGATTCAAGCTGGCGTAAACGCTTCGGTTTATATGCGGCAGACAGCCATCCAGGGAAAGATAATCTCCCGGCTTACAGCAGAAGAAATCCAGATTGTCAGGCAGTTGATAGGAATGTCGGTGAACATAAATCAGGTGGCCAAGGTCTGCCACCGGGAGGGACTTTATGAAGCTATGCAGTATTTCGAGCACTACAGGAACCTGATTGACGGACTGCTAAAGAAATTAAAGCCATGATCAGTAAGCCGGTGCCCGCCAACTCATTTTATCATACTTGCCGATATATCAGCAACAAGCCTGGAGCAGAACTGCTGATAGCAGAGGGTGTAAGGGGGCATGATTATAAGTTGATGGCAGCAGATTTTGAGACCCAGCAGCAATTAAGGCCGGACAAAACGAGGGCTTGCTTCCATTCTATCCTCAGTTTTTACCCTGGAGAAAAGCCAACCGATGAGTTACTCAAAGAAATCGCCTTAAAGTATTTGACGGAATTGGGGGTGGTAAATACGCAAGTCGCCATCAGCAAACACACTGACAAAGCGCATCTGCACCTGCACATTGTGGCCAATATGGTGAACAATGCGGGAAAAACTATCAGTGATAGCTGGATAGGTTTGAGGGGTAAGAAAATAGCCCAGCAGCTCACTCAGGATTATAAATTGATTCCGGCTTTAGAGAAAAACCTGAAGCTGACAAACCTGGAATCGCTGAGTAGTTCAGAAGCCAACAGGTACAAAATCTATGTAGCTATCACAAAAAATCTACCCTATTGTCGAACAATGGAAGATCTGGAAAAAAGGTTGCTGAAGCTGGGCATTGAGACCAAATACAAGTACAAGGGCCAGACAGATGAAAGACAGGGTATCAGTTTTAAGATGGGTGATATTTCTTTTAAGGGCAGCCAGGTGGACAGAAAGTTTTCGTTGTCTGGACTCGAAAAGGCAATAATGCTGCAACAAAAGCAAGTACAAGTGCCACGACAATTGCCGGGCAACAAGGAGATTTTGAAGGAGATGGTTCCTGCCCGAACCCGACCAATACCCCGGGTCGAGAGTGACAACAATTCCCCAGAACCGGGAAATGAGTACAGCCACCATATTGCAAAGGGGTTGGAAAAAGCGGTGGACATGCTATTGAGGAGCGAAGAAACACCTGGCCAATTACCTTATGAGTTAACCCAGAAAGCCCTGAAGCAAAAGCGAAAAAGAAAATCTCAACAGAACAGCAGGTAGCTGTATTTATTAACAAAAAAATCAAGGATTATGAGCGGACAGGAAAGCGGAGCAGGTGCAGCATTTATGGAAATCAGTTCCCGGAAAATGCAGGAGCAGGATAAAAAGATTGCTGCTATCGAAGAAAAAATAAATGATATTCCTGATAATATAGAATTAATGGGTGATTTATCAAGCAATATAGAAGGGCTTCATTCTGATATGCAGAAAATTCTATTGTTGCCTGAAAAACTGGAGGCGTTTTCAAAAGGGCTGGAGTCGGCAACTAACTTACTAAGACAATCATCACATACCAGGGTCATCCATCAGCACCATATACCTAAACTGATATGGATTTCGGGAGGATTATTTTTGGGTATCTGTCTTGCTTGCGCTGGGTGGTATATGACGGCCAGCAAGCTGGAAAATTTCATTGCGAGTGACACCAAGTATCGGCAGATGCGGCTCGATACGGTTCAAAGAGGTCTCCAGCTTTACCTCGACCATTTGGACAGTTCATATAAAATCCAGACTGATATGCGGAAGAAAGTGCTAGAAACGGAAGAGCAGTACAGGGTAAATTTTGAACGCCTGCAGAAAGCGGAAAGATTGAAATGGGATGCAGAAGATTTAGAAAGAGCAGCCGGACGAAAGTAAGTTAATTCACAATAAGGCGGGAAAAAGCCACAACAAAAGAAAATAAAACCAACTGATTTTCTTCTATTGTCTGAATGCGACGCTTTTATTTTTCCTGATCTGTTCCTTAGAAATAGGGCGGCGATCAGGATTTTTTTATTCAAAAAGTTCCTTTGAGCATTTGATCTATATCCGTCATTATTTTCGCAAGGGCGGTATTTTATAAAATGAATAATTGGGGATTCAGGTCGCATGAAATCATGTATTCCCGCAGAATTATTTTTTTTCACCTTATTTAGGTATTACTTTTTGCAATTTGGAAATTATAACCCCCGGGGTGATCGAAAAGGAAGATGGTAGTTCGCGAAGCAGACTTTTAGTTTTATGTAAAAGGTAAATCTGAATTCAAAAGAAATCGAAATCAGTGAAATTGTTTTTAAGGAAATAACCACGTAGAAAATCGCTTCAATAATGAAATTGAGTCCTGCAACAATTGAAAATTACAGAGACAAATCCAGAAGAAAATAGGTGCAATGCATTTTTGTAAAATTTAGGACACACCTGCGTCTGAAAAAATCGAATCTGTCAATTGGTAGATAATGTGTTTTCAGTGTGCATGATCTTGTTTAAGCCAGGTTTTATTGGTCATGCATACCGATAGGTAATTAGTGTAGTATGCTTGATTACTAAAATGCCAAGTACCCAGTTGTAATAGTAAGTGTAAACATTTATGGTCAAAACTTATATATACTTACCAAGTTTGCGTTTTTATTTTTTTTGAAAAAAAACGAAAAAATAATTTAAAAATAATTTAGGGTTTGAAGGGGCCGGAATTGTCATTTTTGCATGTTAAGTGAAATGCTTGCCTGTCTTGCATTTCACGAGACATATATAAAATAAAATAGTGCGCAAAGTGATCTATTGACTGTGTTATTAAATCGGGCGATCGTATATTTTCATTTTGGTCATGAGATTTTATTTTCTATGTTTGATTTTCTTTAAGATTTTATATCCTTCTGGAAAAAATCAATTGCTGCTACATTATCGCTAACACCAACCTTAATAGTTTTTCACGTAATGCGTGACAGGATGTTATTGCCCTTTAAAAAAGATATAAAAGTAGAATAATAACCCTAAAACCCCTTTCTTCATGAACAGTTATTCCCACCGGGTAAGGAACACGATGCGATGTCCTCGATTGAATGTTGATGTTTTCTTCAGGACGATTTTCCGTTCTACAAAAATCATTATGAAAGAGTAGATGCCAATTTTATTTTACACTGCGTAATAATTCGACGCTAGTTGTATTGATGCGAAAATACAACTGCTTCCAATATTTATTGAACGAATGTTGACGCGACTATACTGGTAAATTAATTTTTGGCGGTTAGAATTCCTTTTGTTCAGTCAATAGCGGATTCGTGATTACCTGTATTCAGATAACAATTGAATATTCATAAAAATTGATCTTTAAAATATAAAAGCCTTTACAATGTTTGGTAAACTAATGGGACTTTTGATCGTATTGTTCATATCGTCAAAATTATTTAGCCAGTGCGACACCTCCAATGCAGCAGAAGGCCTTCCACCGACTGCAGCGTTTGGGTCTGTATCGATCAGCAACTACGATCCAAAGCGAGCGTTTGATGTGAACGATAGCAGTAATATAACGTATTGGAGTGATAACGGAGGAAATGCGGTTCAGGAGATCGGAATTGATTTTGGACAACTGTTGGATTTCTGTTCGGTAGATATGAAATGGGGGGTGAATGAATACCCTTCGCATTTTTATATTCAGGGCGCAACGGGTTTTGCAGACCCATGGGTTACTTTGAAAGAAATTACAGGAAATACAAGTAACGTGTTAACCGTAACTGATCTTAACCAACTCGGATTATTTAGAATTTTGAGAATATTGCCTGTTGCAAGGCCATCAGGATCTACAGTATACACTTTGTATGATTGCAAAATCCATACACGTATTGCCAATATACTTCCCTCTGCAACATTGACATCGCCTGTAAACGGTGCGTCCTATCTACTCGGTAACAATGTTGAGATAACAGCCAATGCAAGTGACGCTGATGGAATTGTTAAAAAGGTGGAGTTTTATAAAGATGCGACAAAACTCAGTACCGACTCAATTGCTCCTTACAGTTATACCTGGACAACGACCGATACGGGCCGGTTTTCAGTATTTGTAAAGGTTACGGACAGTATTGGAGGCTATAAGAGATCTGATACCGCAATTATCAGGGTTACCAATGCACCGGCTGCGCTTCGGAGTTGGAACCTTACTGGTACTACCATTTACAATTCCAATGCTGGACTTGTGTCAATCGGAAGAATTCCGGCAAACTTACCTTCTGATACCTCGATCAAACTCTCAGTTAACGGTTATATCTACGCAAAGAAATTAAAGGTAACTCAAACAGTATGGGCGGATTATGTTTTTAAACCGTCTTATCGCCTTCGGCCACTAAGGGAAGTAGAAGCCTTTATACTTAAGTACCGTCATTTGCCTGATATTCCCTCTTCCAAAAAAATTGAAGAGACGGGTTTGAATGTTGGTGATAACCAGGCGCTCCTGCTAAAGAAAATTGAGGAACTCACACTTTACCTTATTGATCAGAATAAGCAACAATCTGCGCAGCAAAAAGTAATAACAGAGCAGACTCAAAGGCTTTTAAAATTGGAGCAGGAGATTCAGCAATTGAAAGAAAACAGCCTGAAAAAATAATTCATTTAAATGCTGAGGGCGTGGGTTATTCAATGGACAGCATCTGAACATTAATGGGAAAAATCCGAAATCGATACTGGGGTTTATTGATACTGGTTCTACTACTCAGTAGCGATTTCGCTTATGCCCAAATAGACGGGGTTGCAAGGCAGGTCAAGGATACAGTGCCTTTATTTAAGGACAGCCTGATAAAAAAAACCAAAGCACTTCCTGAGAGAATGTTAGCGGATGTTACAAAACAGGGAAATATGTTTACCCGATTATTTGGAAAAAGTCATCAAAAAGGAATGGATAGTATCCCCAGGGTGCTTCCCAAAGGATTTGTCCCGGATTCGGTTGGCTCTGTAGCGGATAGCTCAATGAAACAATTGGTACGCTCACAGAAGCAGGCTTTCGTTGGCAATTTTCATTCTGTTAAAGCCCGTATGACTGGGATTTTCAGGAAGCCGCAGAAACCTTTGTCCGCTGCAAGTAGTGCCGGAGATGTTTTGCCAAGACGCTTGCTTTCCGGACCAGTATTCGGTGTTGGAGGTGGATATTTGAACTACAACTATAATTACAGGTCTGCATCTGATACACCATTTGCGGAAAAGAATATTGGCCAACATAATGTTACGGGAAGCATGAGGGCAGCGGTAGCAAGGGCACTGCCTTTTAATGTGAACTTTTGGATAAGGAGGAGTAATTCGATAGTATACCGGGATATTACCGATATACAGGTGTCCTTTGACGCTGCAGCTTTCCGGAATCAACTGGTAAACAATCTTCAACAGCGTTTACGTTTATTTGCACCATCCCTGGAAGATTCACTTCTGGAGAAACTTGCCGGGCTCAGGTCTTCGGAATTGCTGAACATGGGCAACTGGTTAAAATCGCCCTTTAATATTCAACAGTTACATGAGTATGGGGAATTGATAAAAATTGATGCAGTGCATCCTGACAACAGGCCATCCGATAGTCTGGGCCGTCAACAGTATGATATACGCATAAATGAAGCCACCGCATTTATTCAATTGTATGATTCTACAAGGGAGCAATATGGCAGACTGAGCGGTTCAGTGGATTCCCTTAAGAATATTCTGTCGCTGCAGCGTAAAAGACTCGAAGGCTACCGGAAAATGGCAAATGGAAAATTCAGCGACTGGAATGCATATTCAAAATGGAAGGATGAAATGAATGCAGCTATTCCAGGCCGGCCTGTTATTCCGGAGAAATATAAATGGTTGATGGGTATCAGGAATTTCAGCGTTGGGAAAACTCCCCTGAATTATTCGGAGCTAAGCGCAAAAAATATTACCGTTACCGGTCTCAATTTTGAGTACAATTCATGGTACTATCTGGCAGTTGCTGGCGGTCTGATTGACTACCGGTTCCGGGATTTTGTCGTAAACAATGTAAAGCGCGCTCCGCAATACTTGTTCATGGTAAGGGCAGGATTGGGAAGTCTTCAGAGGAATTACTTCATTGTATCCTTATTAAGAGGACAAAAACAACTTTATAACCTGCCAATTAATGGCACACAGTCAAACTCCATCAGCATAACCGGGATCACAGCAGAGACCAGGATTCAATTGAACAACCGGACATATGTAATAGCAGAAGCAGGCGAATCGGTGTCCCCTGATTACCGGTCGGCGCCTCCTGT